CCTTTGTTCTGTGACAAACTCAAGTGAAACATGAGTTTCAGATGTTTTTGTTTTATACTAATATTTATGCACATTTTTACAATTTTGTAGAATCTTTAACATTTTTCTACATTGTTTTTGTACCATAAATGAATAATTTATTATATCTGCTCTCATAACTACATCTGGACACATACTGGTTTTTTTCAATAAATATTATTTGGTTTAAAACAGTTTTCATATCTGTATTTACTTCTTAAACTTGGGACTTTTATAATTCTGATCTGTGACTTTGCTGTTGTGTTATTTTAACACTATTTTTTTATTGTTGGTTTAAAAGAGAAAATATATCAGTCCATCATGTCATTTGGAAAACTATTGATGTAAAACAAAGAAAAGAAATGTAAACTTACATGATCTACGTTGCAATAATAATCCCCAAAAAATACTGTTAAAATATTTTATATCCATTCACTGAATTCCAGTGGCCAATTTCTCAAGTTTAGAACTAATATTTAAAAATTTAGGAATCAAACTGTGAGACAGAAGGCACTTATTTTTCAGTGATATTATTCAGCAGAAGGGTGTGTGTGTGTGTGTGTGTGTGTGTGTATGTGTGTGTGTGTGTGTGTGTGTGTGTGGGGGGGACGACATCAAATAATGCAAAATTTTACACACCAGTAAAATATTTGCATGTTTAATCATATTTTTCCAAGAAAATAAAAGACACTACATCCTGCAGGACCACAGCTTCTGTTTTTCTTCATGCAGGATTTAGATTTATCACTGAAAGCGTTCCAGTCCGTGCATCTCACTTGTGTTGCAGGTTGTGTCCCCCCCACCCACCGCTGTAATAAAACTGGACCCCCTCTGAGTACCTCTGCAGTGACCCGTGTGGCCCTCAGAGTTAATTTTGACGCTGTGACAAACACAGCGCTGTGTTTCTGGTCGGCTCAGTCATGTTTCAGACCTGTAGTAGAGCTCATTATCTCAACCACTTCCTTTTCAGCTCATACCAAAGAGGGGGGCTGGTCTGCAAGACATTTGGTCAAAGTTCACAGGTTTGTGCTGTCAGGCGTTTAGAAAGTAAATTCAGCTCCTTCAAATTACAACAGTTTTTTGAGTAAGGATGTGATGATTTTCTATCCACTGATGCTGTTGGTTGAACTTTTACAATATGGTGCAGTATGAGGGCCAAATTTAATGCTCAACCAGCAGTTGCTACATCCTTAACAGGAGGCTATATCTAAGTCTAAGCCAGATATTGATCTGATTTGTAATAGGCCAGAACCAGTAACTGAGCAGCTGGCCCCGGTAACCGAGACCAGCGCTAGCAAACGAGGAGACTATTCATTTTCATCAGCACTGGAGAGGCTAGTGACTAGCATGGATAAGCTGGCATTAGCACTGGAGAGGCTAGTGACTAGCATGGATAAGCTGGCATTAGCACTGGAGAGGCTAGTGACTAGCATGGATGAGCTGGCATTAGCACTGGAGAGGCTAATGACTAGAATGGATAAGCTGGCATTAGCACTGGAGAGGCTAGTGACTAGCATGGATAAGCTGGCATTAGCACTGGAGAGGTTAGTGACTAGCATGGATAAGCTGGCATTAGCATTGGAGAGGCTAGTGACTAGCATGGATAAGCTGGCATTAGCATTGGAGAGGCTAGTGACTATCATGGATAAGTTGGCATTAGCATTGAAGAGGCTAGTGGCTAGCATGGATAAAATGGTGTTAAATGGAGAGTCGAAGAGAAAAACCAGAACTATCGAGGTGGGGCTTTTTACAGTTTTTGATGGGGTATTAAATTAGGTTTCTCTACACTGAAATATAATTTATAATGTCACATGCAGATATTTCTCATAATTCAGCTAAAAACGGGAAAAAAAMCCCTGCCGTCGACCAATAGACAAGTGCAAATGTAGCTGCTAACTCCTATGGTAAAAGCTGTCTGCTTCACAGTAAAATGTGACGTCATGTTGAACAGTAAACTCTAAGGAACACCTGTCAGTGCATGTCGCTTTGTTGGTTTGTATGTCAACAATTTTTATTGAGAACATTTTCTTTATTCAAAATGTTTGTGTCTGATAAACCAAGTGAACAGCATAGGCATGCTAGTTTCTAGCCTCTCCAATGCTCGTTCTCATTTGCCAGCACCGGCCTCTCAGTTACCGGTGCCAGCTGCTCAGTTACCGGTGCCAGTCTATCAATCAGATCAATAGCTGGCTTAAGAATAGATACAGCCTCCTGCTACAAGGATATAGCAACCGCTGGTTGCACAATAGTCTTAATGTTGGCCCTCATACTACGCCATATTACAAAAGCTGTCAGTCAGGCCCACCTCAAAGCACCAGAGTCAGTTGTAGGTATCTGAACAACAGCCTGTAGGACTGCCCTAGGCTTGGATCAGACGTAAACACTCAATCCACTGGAGGGAGCTGAATGAAACAGGCACGGGTACTGATTACCTGTCCAAATCTTAGCTTTGGGAAAACTCTCATCACCCTAACAAGGAAAACTTGCTGGAGTCCAAACTGATCACAATGCCTGTGGTTTTGAATTAGAGACCTGTTTGCACAACTCAGTGTCTTTTTAGAGAGAGCAATGGACCCACTTATGAGGCCCCTGCTCATCATCGCCATTCACCACACCACAACATGCCCTTTTACTTCTTTACATCTCACTTTTGCATTCAGTATCACAGTATATCAACACGCCTCTCTTGTATCGACTGTATCATTAGATGTGATCCCATTTATTCCCAAACTGGATGTGATGGAAACGTCCTTCTCTTCGTGTTACAATTTTGGATTAGCTAATAATTTCTCAAACATGAATCATTCTGATTAGTTCTCCTGAAAACAAGCCTGACTCATTTAAAAAAGTTGAAAAACTCCCACTTGATTAAAGGCCTAGAATTCTTTGAAGGACTGCATATCATCCGCCAAGCAGACTTTTAGTCTAAAAYCTCCTTTTATTAAGAAATGACAGGGTTGCAGCTATCATGGTCAAACCTTGAAAAATTCTGCAAGCATTTTGGATTAAAGTGACTAAATCAGTTGTAGGATTACTTACTGCAGGTTACAGTGGACAACAAGGCATGATTGTAAAACACAGGCAAACACATCATCACCATTGCTGAAAGGTAATAGTCAAACTTACTGATGACGTGTGACCATGAAAGCGGCTGCATTTTTGTATGAACTGCTGCTTCTGATGGTTTATGTTGTCATGACGCACCAGATTAAAACTTCTTAAATTCTGTGTTTTTATAGGTTGAAGTCACTGATGACAATCAAAACTTAAAAAGGAAACAGCGGTTTGCATGACAGACAGTTAGGGCCGTTACATTGTGGAGCCAGGTTCCTGCTGAGGTGGGCCGTCTGACAGCAGGTGAGGCCCGTCGGCCACAGGTAGGAAATGCAAATGAAGCCACAGAGAGAGAGAGAGAGAGAGAGAGAGAGAGAGAGAGAGAGAGAGAGAGAGAGAGATACGCTTCACATTCTCACTCCGTTTCAATCTTCAGAACCATTTGCATGCAAGGACCGAGACAAAAAACATTTCCTCATGACTTGAGCTGTGGGACTCGACCCCTCCACTTTATGACCATGGTAAAGTATTGATGTTGATTTAATTCTGATGCTTTGTTCTTGTAACATTGGGGAGAAAAAAGAAGGAAGTGCAGTCCTGTTGTGAAGCTTTTTACAGTCAGTTCAGAGGTTCCTGGGAACAGTGAAATTGCAGCAACTCTGTTAAAGTTCGTGAAGTAGAAAAAAGGGAGTATTTATATTTTTCACAGTTCGGTTTGAGCTCAAGCAGGTTTTAGTTTAAGGTTATCACACAGATTTTATATGTGAAGTTACATTTAGACATTTTTTATGGGAGACACACAACAAATAAAAATGAAAATATATCAGTTACAAGTAGTGTTGAAATTTGTGTTGCTTTTCCTTTCCAAAGCATCACTTCGTTGTGAAACGTTTTAGTTTCTTTTATGGTGACGATAACTGTAAGAGGGTTTGGTGCCACACCATCCTGGTCTAATGAAAAAGAAAAAGAAAATTCAGAAGAAATTTCTGTTTTCATCTTAAATTTTAGCAAAAGAAGAACATATTTTTGTCTGCTTTCAAAATGTCATGTTTTTACTCTCAGCTCCTTTAGGTGTCAGAAACGTTTTATGCAAACACTGATGTCAGACAGTGAAAAACAGCCTAAAATGTATTTTATGAAGAGACTTTTGTTGCACAAAAATGCATTACATTTTTTTAATGCATTACTCTTTTTTTTTGTTAAAATATGTTCAGTTTATTCTTATCCATCAATCAAGTCTTTCTTCTGTGACATAAAATCAAGCAACTTTATCATTTTTTCTTTTCTTTGACAGATTTAAAGTGTTTATCTGCTGATAGTAATTACTTTAAGAATGATTCATTGGGCTGATAGTGATCATATGAAGTGTGTGATAAGTAAGAAACAGTAAATCTCTTGTGTGAAAGGCAAAACATTTGCATCGGATTTCACTTCACGGCTTCACGACTTTTTCCTTTTTCCTGCTGCTGGCTGTGCGTGACGCCGCCGTTGATAAATTCCAGTYACTATCAGACAGAAGCTGCAGCAGGTAGAAGTGCAGCGAAACAAAAGGCTCGGAGCACAGTGCTGCCACTGTCAGTCAGACATGAGCTCAGTGAGGAAAAGGTCATAAATAGCAGAAGAGTGATGCAGTTCTCTTTTATCGTCATTCGACACTGAACAACCATTTTCCGACCTGTGTGTGGATCAGTGACACACAGAAAACAGTGGCTTCCTCTCTGCCTTTTTCACCTGTCTGTAATCATTTACTCTGCGGCCACCTGACACTGTGGGAAAAATCTCACTTCCTGATTTCATACAATGTGTGTGTAGGTCTCCTCCTCCTGGTGACCTCAGATTATCACACACACACACACACACACACACACACACACACACACACACACACACACGGGTCTCTCTGGACCTTTTTTACATTTAATTTCAAATTATCAGCAAATACAAAACCTAAAAGCGTCTAACATATTTAACAAGGAACATTTTAATGTTTTATAGACATCAGCTCTATCATAATAAACACAATGATATAACATCTATTAATATTCACTCCTGATGCTGCGCTGCTTGTTTGCATCCTGCAGAAACAGTTTTTGCATTTTATCGTCACGGTCTGTGCTTCTAAAAGTAGATTAAACAAAGTGGCTTGGCTGTAGGAGTTTCTGTAAAAAAAAAAACAGCGATTGTGTAGAAGTGGTGGAAGAGGTATTGGTGCATGGAGGACACAAACAGGATGTCAAGCTGATTTTACAGAACTGAAAACGAAGGTGTTGCTGTCAGTAAGTCCAGCAGCACAACATGTAAACATCTGACCTGACAGAGGGAAAATAAAATGCTGAAGGAGGGAATGTTTACCAAATTAGGACAAAATATGCTGAAAGCTAGAATCAAACTAAAGACATGATAATAAAATCTTAAATAAATGATAAATTTGTGAGAAAACAGACCAAAAAGTCACACCGAAATGACTAGCAACCGTCATTTTCCTCATGTTCAATCACATGTTGCTTAAATAATTGTTGGAAATGCAACGTTGTGCAGTTTTTTTTAGATCCATAAACAGATTTCATCTACTAAAACTTAAACTGAGACAGTATGAGTTGTGCAGCACGGCCTTTTATTTGTTAAGTCTAGGCACTTTTCAGTCTTTTCATATATAAATGTGTGTTTCTTTTAAAACCTATTGTTTTGTGGCCTTGCTCATGGCTCAGGCTGACAAATGCTGATGACTGACTCAAAGTAAATAGTTAACAGCACCAGACTCAGATATCTGGATTTGACTTTTCCTTGTTTTGTTTCTTATTTGTCTGTTTTTTAGAGCTTCTTTGGGAAAAAAAAGAACATGTAAGTAAAATCACAGAACTCTTTTTAATCTTGAAGATATGATTATTTTATTGTAGCTGTTGTTACAGGAGCAGTGGACCTCCAGCTCCTCCCAGAAGGGCAGGTGAGATCTGGATTCATGTAAAAAAAAAAATACATAAATAAAATTTAGAAACTGTTTGTTGTTTTTATTCATTCCCATCTGTCACGTGTTTCAGACAAAAACGTAGGCTTTGAATGGCCCCAGGACGAATTTGTGAGTGGGTCGAAAACATTTTGCTCTCATGTTTCTGTGAGGATCTCAATAACTCTGATGAATTTTGTTGARCAGGACGAGGAGGAGGAAGGTGACATGTATGAAGTGCCTCCCTGTGAGCGTCCACAAGTCAAAGTCCCGCCGAGACATGAGCACGACAACATTTACCTGGGTAAAAAAACTCTGCTGCCTTCAAGTCAGGAAGATAAATGTTGAAACTGAAACTAAAAGAGCCAAACAGTAGCTAAAAGAAGTAAAACACAAGCTAACAGTCAGAAGTAGCACATAGAAGTCAAAAGTTTAAACAGAAGCAAAATTCAACCAAAAAGGCCAGTCTGAAAGTAAAGAAACATTAGCCGAGTAGAAAAATAGCTAAAACTTAAAGTTGCAAAAAAAAAAAAAAGACAAGTGCAGCAATAGAGTAGCTAATGTGACAACTAAAACTAGTAAAATATTAGCTCAAAGCTAGTACAAAATGGTAACTAAAATTAAAATGGTAGCTAATGGCTAAGAGTAGCAAAAAACTAGCCTTAAGCTAATTCTAGCAAAACTGTAACTAAAAGCTAAAGGTAACAAAACGACAGCTAAAAATAGCAAAAGCTTGGCTAAAAGCTAAAGGTAGCAAAATAGTAGTGAAGAGAGACAACCTAAAATAATAAAATCGTAGCTAAAAGCAGAAAAAAGTTAGTTAAAAGCTAAGAGTGGCAAAATGTACAAGTGGGGTCTCTGCAGACAAGTGGGCGTGTCACAACAAAAGGCGATTCCAAAGCGACACACCTGATTCGACGGACTTTGTTAAAAGGACACACTGACTGGACAAGCGAAAAAGATGCATCACCGTACGGCACCCCCTGATTGGACAAGAACAAAAGGGGCTTTACTGTTCGGCACAACTTTTTCTGGAGAACCCTACTTGGGTSACATTTCTCCTGGTTAACCTTAGTGTTGTGGTCAGGGTCAGGCTGTATAGAGGTCAAGCAGGATACCGTCATGTAGGCCTCGTAGCCCACAGTGTTTAGGGTTTGGACACGCYYACTCTTGTGACACGCCCACTTTGACAACCCCTTCTCAAAATGCTAGCTACAAGTAGAAAAGGGCTAGAGAAAAGCTAAATGTAACAACAAAATGGCTGAAAAAAGGTTATCAAAAAGGGTAGCAGGTGGATAAAAGTTGCTGAACATCAGCAAAAAATTAAAAATTATATAAAAAACTGTTCCAAAGAGATTGTTTTTGAAGAAATGAAATAGCTCTATTCCAACCAATTATGAAAATATCTGTACATGTAGTTGAATATGTTGAAAAATGAAAATCAAAAAGTCACAGCACCCATCTCATGWATGAGCCGAACTTTTTTAATGTATGAATGGCTAAAATAGATCAACATCCACCAAATTATTATTATTTTCCCCTAAAATGTTGTTGTTTGTGCAGAGAGGACATCCAGCCCTGCAGTTCCACAGCGGCAGACTGCTCCTCCACCTCGGCCAAGCAAACCCACGGTATCAACAGCTGCTGAACTCTTTGTGTCTTTCTACAGCTGCTGTTTAAAGATTACTCATCTGTTTGGATTAATAACCTCACCTGTGCCCCACAGAAACCTTTGCCAGTGGAAGCCTTCAAAGAAAACACAAAAAAGCGTGAGCTGACATTGTTCTGCTCTTTGTCTTCTTAAATTTCTTCATGTCTTTGTTAGTTTGTTTTAATAAATCTGTATCTTTTCCTCGTGGCAGCGCCTGAAATCAACCGAACAAAGAAGCCTGGGAGGCAGATGAGGCCTCCTCCTGTAGCCCGTCCTGCTCCGGCTCACACATCTGATGAAGACGGTGCAGACATTCAGTTTATACTTTTATGAAGCTTAATGTTTCAATGAGGTGAAAGAGTAGCTACTCGTATTTCCATGAATATGTGAATTATGATATTAAAACAATAAAACAACAAAAAAATACAACTAACTTATCAGCTGCTGAACAAGCTGTGTTTCCTCATAAATCTTTGATTTGCTTGTTTCCACAAACAGAAGTTCCTTTGGAAAAATAAATAAATAAATAAATAAATAAATAAATAAATAAATAAAGCAGAAACTCAGAAGCTGAAGTTAAAAGAAAAACAATAAATTAAACCTGAAGCTGCACACAGGTGTTTCCAGGAACTCACTTCGGTTGGAAAAATATCTACATAAACACAACAAAACACTTTTTTTATAAACTAAAAACAGAAGATGAATTAGTTAATTAACTGAATTACAAAGCAGCACATTTAATTAAAGTGCACTTTAAGAAAAATTGATTTTGTTGTGTATTTTTGTTTCGTTATGTGGTGTTTTACTCTACTTTTGAATTTTATTATAAAAACTTAATCTTACAGAATGACATGAACTTTTTAACAGATAGAAGCTTTACAGTGTTCATTTTATTGGAGCTCATTTTGCAGAATGTTTAATTTCGAAATGATTCACATAATTTTAGGTAATTATCCTATTTTTTTAACTTTGATGTTTCGGCAAAAACAACAACAACAACAACAACAACAACAACAAATAAAAACAGTTGAGCTAATTTAATTATCTTTAATTATCGTTTGTGGAGCAAGTGCAGCAATGTAGTTTTGTACAGTATTTGCTGAACAAGGATTGTAAATAAAAGTAAGAATCTAAAGTTTAAATACTGATGAAGGAATTTTTTTTCACCACGTAATACTTGTTTTTACTTAAGTTGCTGTAAATGCAACACGTGATTGCGATTATTTAATAGTTAATTAAATGTTTGTAAATTCACATGCCTGGAGCTTAAATTTAAGGTTTTGTTACCTGATGAAGTGCTATTTTTTTCATTAACTGTCTCTAAAAGTGTCTTTTTGTGTTTCAGATGTTTATCTGGATCCAAATGAAGAACAGGTGAGTCTAACTTACTTGTTTTTGATGACAATAATTCATGTTGTGGAACTGTTCCACTAAGGCAGAAACACGTGAATAAAAGAAAAGGTGCACTGCGTGGTTTGGTTGTCAAATGATTTAATAAGGTTGCATATGCAAGAGAGATTTGAGTGGCCACTATGACAGAGATTAATCAATAGCTCAGAGTCAAGTCACCACTGAGTTAACAAGAGACAGGAAATGCAATTTATACTTCCGGCGTGGTCCATAAACAGCAAATAAGAGCATACCAAATACTAAAGTGATATTGAATGACCAATGAAAGTAATACAAGTTACACATGCAATATGAAATGAGCACAAGGTTGTAGACATCAGAGAATCATGAGAATAGATTATACAAATGTGGCAGTAATCAGAGAGAGATACAGAACAGAACATGTCAAAGTAATGTGAACTTAGCAGTTAGGCAGGATTATATAATATATTTCCACCACACTCCCTCCTCTTGATTAGTCACTAATCAGTTAAAATAGGGAAGAAACAATTATATAAAATAAGTAAACACAAACTGCCTCAACACCAATGTAAAAGGAACAAGTGCAATGTAAAACAGAGCAAACAGACTCAATAAGTCAATAATCAAAGAAAGACATGTCAAAATTTAAAGAACTTAAGTGGTCCAAAATTTAACAAAGTATCACAAGCTTAAGTCTCGCCCCCGGCCAATGTGACAACATTAGCCGCATATGTGCCATCGAGGTCTTATCTTGGATATGGGCGTTAATCTAACAACAACCAGTTGTCAATAACTGAAACCTTAAATAATGCAAATTAGGACATGGCAAGTTGAAGAAATGCTTAAAGCATTTACTTCTAGAATAATAGACTAAACAAAATGAAATACCAAATGATAAATGAAGACCACATAACCTCATAAACTTAAGAATAGTTGAAGAAATGTCATTAAAATGTTTAAAATTATGTTTCCACCCCAGTCAGGCAAACTTTATTCCACCCCAAACAATCCAAAATCATAAAAATAAGATTCAAACTCTGAACCCTACAATATTAGATCAAAGTCAATGCAAATTCTGTTAAAACAGATAACTAAGTAGCTAAAGGGAAGCAAAAAACATTAAATGAAAAATTCAAAATCRTTTTAATCAAAAACCACAGAGTTCATAATACATGAACTTGATTCATTAATTACTGGCTTTTCCTGTCTGTTGCTAACTGAGTGGTAACTTGACAGAGCTGACTGATTTCTCTCCATCCGGTTGTCACTCAATCATGCATATATGCAACATTATTAAATCGTTTGACGACCAAACCACGCAGTGCACCTTTTCTTTTACTCACGTGTTTCTGCCTTAGTGGAATAGTTCCACAACAGAATTGACGTCAACAAATTACGGTCTTTCCGAGGGCGAMGAGCTCAGGCCGAGCCGACAGACAGGACCAACAGAAGCTGGAGTCTTTCCTTTTTTTTCTTCCGTGTTTATTTTCATATAAAGGGATGAGTTCATGATTAAAATAAACTTGTAGCGCCAGAAAATGTTCTGATTGTTAAACCAGTGAGGCAGAATTATCAAAAAGATCACAGCTGACTTCACAGATTTTATCAGAAAGCTACACATCATGCTTTAAAGCCAGATGATTCTGATTGTTGTTTTAATAATCTGTAAATAAATAGCACTTCAGACTGAGACTTTTATGTTTTAAGTATAAGGAGGTACTTTCAGTGTTTTTTAAGAAGTGGTTTAGCACTAATTTGGTAAAAGGTGAAGGAGGATAATAATGTTTGTGTGTTTTTATTTTCTTTCAGGAAGATAATGAAGATAATGACGTGTATTTAGAGCCAGAGGCAGGTAGGTTGTATTACAGAAAGGGTGCTGTGATAAGATCTGATTATAAAAGGTGATTGTGTTTTTTCTCTCTGCTCTTCAGCTTGTTCACCTCCCCCACGGGGGCTGCTGCCATCTCCCAAAACTGGACCTCCTGCCCACAAACCAATGTAAGCTCACCTCAGTCTGAGTGCAAACAGCAGAACTTCTCCCCTCCTCTGATCCAAAGRACCGTTTTTACATTCCTGATGTTACACATTTGCATAGTGTTTTCTAATCAAACAACACGTGTCTGCTGGAGTTTTAGCAAAACTAAAATGTGATTGCAGTAATAATAAATCTGCAATGATTTACATAAAAAATGACATGCTGACAATCTGCAGGATGAAACCTCCAGTTCCAAGAGCTCAGACTGTAAGTGTTCTCACTTCTTGTTAAAAAATATAAAACAGAGGTTGATTTAGAAAATTACTAACTTCACACAAACCAAAATCGCCAGTTTAAATCATTTGTTTCTTTTTATTTCAGCATTCAGCATTTCCTTCCTTGAATGAGGTGAAAACAAGTGAGTTTTATTATGATTTTTGAAAGAATCAGACCAAGTTTTAGAAGGCTGAAGAATAAATGAGTAACATCTTGTAGCTCCGGATGAAGAGAGACGGGCCAGTTTTCCCACCAAACTCCCCCCACCACCAACTCCCGGAGCCAAGCCTCCTTTCCCTGTGACCAGGAAGGAGCCTAAACCCATGTAAGAGGCGGAGATGATAAAACATGTTCAAAGAGATGAAATCACATAAAACCTCTCCTGTTAGGCCTGAAAGTTCTTGCAGAAATAAAATTATTTTTATTCCAGGCCTCCTGTTCCTTCAATCACAGACACAAAATCTGTGGGTAAGCTTCAGTTTGTTACATTATTTTATTTATTTTTATACATTTTAAATTTTTGACATATACCCAAATACTGTATTACATTTGACGCTTAAATTCTAACTATATTTATTGCCAAACACTTACATAACTAATATATGTTCTGTCTGTTTTAAGGTGGTTTAAGAAAACTGTCTGGAAATGAGGTGAGCTTCAGTCTGATTTAAAATCAATTTGCTGTTAAAGAAGAACAAAGTTCAAAGAACCTAAATCTGGTTTAAAATGAATATGTTTATGGTAAAAAATGATCTTGTTTTCGTTTTTAAATACTTTTGTTTGTTTTTGTGCTTTATTTTACAATATTTTACAAGTGTGTGCTTAGATTGTTGATTCATACAAGATGGTAAAAAAATTAAAAAAATGACATTGGATGGATGGACAGATGGATGGATGAATAAATGGATGAATGATGATGAATGGATGGAGTGATAGATGCATAGATCGATAGATTGATGTATGGACGGATGTATGGATGCAATGACTGACATATGGATGGATGGATGGGATGATAGATGATGTATGGACAGATAGATGGATGGATGGATGGATTGAATGATGGACGAAGAGATGGATGGATGGGATGATGAATAGATGGATGAATGGGATGATGGATGAATAGATGGATGGAATGATGGATGGATTGGATGATAGATGGATGGATGGGATGATGGATGGATGGGATGATGGGTGTATGTATGTATGTATGTATGTATGTATGTATGTATGTATGTATGTATGTATGTATGTATGTAT